GTAGACTGGGCTTGCGGGTTGCTTGTCGCGCGCTTGGTTCTGCTGAGCCAGGTGGGGAAATCCCGAGTGGCTCATTCCCGAAGAGCAAAACTACAACCTGTCCTTCAGCCGGCAGCAGCACCACGACATGGGAGGGGCAGCTGTGGCAGCTGTGCTTCTGGGGGATGTGAGGCTAGCGCCAAGCCGGACAAAGGCTTTGACGAGCTTCTTCTAGCCCAGCCTGGGCTCCAGGGGGCTTAGGACCCCTTGTTGATCCCACAAGCTGAGGCTGGATCCAGATCCCACAAGCTCCAGCTCCGAAAACGACCCGAAACGGCCACCAGAATAGGCGGAGGGGGTCCTTCTGGCCGAAGGTCGGCCTACAGGATCTTTGACCCGGATGTTTTCCAAGCAAAGTCCTTGGAAGTAGGTGGATTTGCTTGACAAGCAGGAAAGGCAGAGCAGGGCGCAACGCACTCATCCTGCATGTCAGCCCTTCAGGTTCACTGTTATTTTGTTCGATATAAGGGTTGCCCTCATGGAGGGAGCGTTGCATGGAAGAGTAACGCCTGTATTATGGCATCACCAATTCGATGATCCAGTTAGCCGAAACGTGATGCTTCACACGAGTTTGTGGCTCCAGACAGCCTTCCAGTCGTTGTCGGCCTGCAGAGCCTGTCCAAATTAGCCGCGACCTTGGGCACATGGCTCTGACTACGGCATGATGTTTGTCCCAATGCTTCTTCATTGATGTTTGTCCCAATGCTTCTTCATTTATTCAGTTTTCCTCAGAGATGGCGATTTACATCGATTTACTGTACATCGCACCAATTGGAGATAGCATATCAGAAACCAAGAAGCTTTTGAATTGCCAGGGTCAGATTCTTTCTGCAACATCAAGCCTGCCGAGCTCATGGGCTGATGCGTTGTTGGCTGATCATTGTGTTTCGACCCCGTCCCCTAGAGCAATTGTTGATTATTTGTGCCACCGAAGCACAGCAAGTACTTGTCCCTGTTCTTTAGAGCGGATGCCTCGATTGGACCTGACTCACACTGAGGCCATGCCGTTGGAGGGCAATGCCGAGATGATCGTGTGGAAACCAAGTGAAAGAAAGAGTGCTACTTAGGCCCACTCAGAGGGTTGGCCACTCTTCCAGCTCAGGTGGTTCTACCAGAGTAGGACGGGTTGGTGCAAGAGTCCAATGGAAGAGAGCTGAAGTCTGAAGAGTGTCCCATGTGCTCCAACATCCACCACCTTGTTTTGTTTTTCTTAGCGTCGTGTCCGTGGGAGCAATCATATATGTGGAAGGATGTTTGATGGAAAGTCCTCCAAGTTCCCCAAAATTCCTCAAATTCCTCAAGCAAGTGTCCACCATTTTGATGGAACAGCCACAAGATCACTTATCCCACAGAGGAATCACACGGAGGAATCAGATCACTTAACCCACAGAGGAATCACAGATCGAGGAAGCCCAGGAAAGGATCAGTGAATCTGATAGAACATCCTCATCCTCATCCGATCCCACCGATTCACTGATCCCCCAGGTTTGGCGACAGGCCGTGGATGCCGAGCTGCGCTTGGCTGCCCAATGGGAGGAGCGCAGCATAGCGCAGCCGTGCCCCGCAGACTGGAGCGCTGCTCGAGGTTTGAACAGTTGGAGTGAATCCTTTCCATGTCTGGTCATGAGGGGCAAGCCCAGTGGCAAACCTACCTGGACCTTCAAGGCGTGTCCTGTCTGGAGGTCCCTTAGTAGTGGGCTGGGGCTTCCAGCCAGGTGACCCCTTTGAAGGTGCTGGCAGATCATGATCATGTTTGATTATCTGCATCATGCACTCAACATTGTGGAAATCATTTGGAGGTGGCGTTCGTGTGCAATTGTCAATGAATGTTTCTCCGGGTTTTGGGCTCCAAAGCATCCCACGGCCATATATTGATCATCCATGATCCTTTGCGTCCTAAGAGGGCACCTCCTTCACCCTGGCCCACCCGGTGCAGGAGAGCTGGGGCTTTCTGAAGGCTCAGCCGCAAGAGAAGCGGAAGGCGTGTCATGCGTCAACGACCGAAAAAGTCGCTGCGACCGTGAGGAAGACTTCTGGACAAGTGGGTGCAACAATTGACGGCCAAAAGATGCCCAAAGTGTTTTAATGATATTTTATTGTTGGAAAGCCCCTTATATAAGGCCCTTAGGTCTTCACTTTTGGAGGTTACTTCAGGAAGTTGTTTTCTCCAACCGCTCAACCAAAGCCTTTTACCTATGGGCCTATGGTGGCCTATGGGCCTATGGCAGTACTTTGCTTGGTGGGGGAGTGATCCGATTCGACCGGAGGAACCGGTCACCCGCCAGGACCCTTCAGCTTGCCTGGCATGATTAGGGCACTCGCGTTGTTTGGCGTGGGGTGGTTGAGTTTGGATGATACACGTGTCACGTTGTTTGGATGACCATGAGCTGCCAAAACACTGCTGATAGCTGAATTAGATGAAGTCCCTAGATGCAGATTTGAAGTTAGCCTAGTGGTGTGATGCAGTGACCCCAGCGGAGGGGCAGCCTTGGCAGCTTACTTGGCCGATGGATAGCCACCAATTACTAATCCCCACATGCGACTGGTGGACCAGACATGCCACCACTCACCTCCTCCCTCCCAACAACGATCAAAACCAGAACCTCCACGGCCGGCGTCGTTTGGAGCGTCGTTCGGACGGGGCGTGGCATCCGGCCAGGTGGCACTCCCTAGGTTAGACGAGAAAGGGACCCCAAGGGCTCAGCTGGATGAGCAAAAGGAGCTGTGCCAGTGCCAGTGCCGGCAGTTCTTTTTTTTTGTTCCTCTTTGGGATTGCAAGTCATGGTAGATCAAAGGCAATTGTCATGGGTGATGAGAATCTGATGATCAAATGATGCCTCTGCATGTTCTTCGACTGCACTTGCTGGCCTCTCATCCATTCCCAATTGCCCGCTCCGTGCAGAGAGAAGACTTGCTCTGAGAAGTTGGTCCTTCAGATCCACCTCCTGCGAGCGGCACACCCTCCTCCGCCAGAGGAGCATCCCATCGACAGCATGGTGACGCCCCGACGGATTCTGGTGCCTCGGTCGCTGGCGCCGTGGAAGGATGAGGATGGAAGGATACTTCTTGCAGATCCAACCTATTAGGAATGGCCTCCAACCTACTAGCGATGGCCTCCAAGCTAGAAGCGATGGCCTCCAAACCTACTAGCGATGGCCTCCAAAAATGGATCATTTTTTCGGGGGTTCTGGGATGAACATGGGAGGCTCATTTCATGGCTCGTGCCAAATTCACGGGGTCATGTATGCCCCGCGTTTGTGCTATCGTTTAATGTAGTTTAATGTTCACATTGCAATAACAACCGCCTCCCCCCTAGTGGAAAAGTGGCAGACCGAAATTTGTTCACCGCAATAGTATTCTCGGACCATATATTACTTAGACAGCTAGAAGGTTTATGGTTTCCATTGAGAAGGACATTTGATGTTGTACAGGAGAAAGTTTGGTTCATTATTGCTTTCAGAAGCAAGCTTAGTGGAGAAAGTTTCAGTGTGTTTTTGATGCAAGTGAGTAATTTTATTGACAGTAGTCAATAGTTTATAATCTATATATACATAATAAATGTTTTAAACATAATTGTATGTTTTCTTTGCGGAGAGAGAAGCGGGTTCACAATTGACTCGATGTTTTGTCAATTGTGATGTGAACGTTATATTTGACGAGATCTTTTCCTCACAAAGAGCTGGTCTAGCAGGGCAGCTAGCTTTCATGGGACCGGGATTCCAGGTAGTGAAAGTCACGATGAATTCCAACCTCGTGCTCACGACTCTCGTCACGGGCTCGTGCCGGCTCGTGCTGATACGAGAGAACACGGCGTCCTGGTGCTGCCTCCGAGGCCACGTCGCAATATTCGTACAAGCCGCGGCCGCCCATTGAGAAGCGCGGCGCCCAACGACCAGAGACGGTCCCAAGGGCTACCAATGGGACCCCTGCCAAACAACCCGGGACCCCTGGGGACTGGCAGCTTTAGTGGCAGCTCTTTACTGGGAATTTGGATGCTTATCACCTCATCAGGTGTCGCACTTGACCTGACAGCACAAGTCTTGGGGAGAAACTTTACGTTGCACGTGAGTCTAATTAATTCTAGCAAAGATGAGATAGATCAAATAATTAGGCATCAATGCCCTTCGTCCAGCAGCGGCACGCCGAACCGCAAGTAGCGGACCCAATTTCAGCACTGGTTGGTCTTTGTTCTTTCATGTTCTTGCCGTGCTTATCAAATTCAGGAAGGAACATATGGAAACAAAGTCCGGGAAAGAAAAACACACTGAACCAGTGGGTTTCAGATCGACCCATCAGTCAGGTACTTGTACCATGAGCATTCTGGACCTACATGTGGCAGTATCCTGGACCTACAGCGTGCATTCCAAAGATGAAATGACAAGTGACTTCCCAAGGACCTCATCCCTGAACTTCTCGATGACCTTATCGTTGTCTACTGTATAAATCTTCCGGTATAGTCACGGACGGACAGTAGGCAGGAAAGGTCCGGTGACAAAAACATAGCAGATAGATTTATGGTAAGCGCTTTTGTCAAATTTAGCTGCTTACTGGGGGTGTCCGGAAACTTGTCCTGGAACTGCTTACTGGGGTGTGCTTTCTCAACCAAATGTGTCTGTCAGAGACTCTTTTTTTCCCCTTCTTCCCTGGTTGGCTCATGCAATTGCTCGCATACTTCGCGATCTGTACCATATAAATATCTTCAGACTGATTGATGGAGCCAAGCCAAAGCAAATGAGGGGGCACTGGAGTCCAACAAACTGAAACTACCTTGTTTTTGTATAATGAGTCTTCAACAAAGCATCACCAAAAAACGAACACAACAACAGAAACATGTCGGATTGACACTGATATATATATATATATACACACATTTATATGCATACCACCTCATTCATTGCTTGGCACCGGATTTCCGTGCATGTGACGTGCAAAATGAGGCCAATATGCGCTTTCAAATGGTTTCATTTGATGTGGAAACCCAACTTCACATTGAGTGCTCCCTGCAAAGTCTTTACACGTTCCAGTGCAGTGTGGCACCCTGGATTCTTTTGAGAGTGCTTTTTCCACACAAATAGCAAGCACTCCAACAAAGCTTGACAAGGTGAGACATACCCTCGTGTCTTCAAAACTCCAAATGACCGGGCCACGGATGCCTGGCCAACAGCCGGGTAACGCACTTGCCAACAATTGGTCGTGGAATGGTATCCAATCCCGAATCCGACAACATCTGGAAGCTGGGTGAGGTTGACCTGATCCAGGAAAGCATATGCTGGCACATCTTGAAAGCTACATGACTTTCCAGAAGATGAAGAAGGGGAAGGCTTGGCATCCTCAGGCATTTTGCCATGTTGGTTGCTCGATTCCTCCCCAATAATCAGCAATTTGTCAGCGTTCTCCAATTTCCACTCAATGCCAGAGTCTTCAAGGTATTCTGGATCGCTGGCCTCTGGCTCGAGCTCCTCAGTATCCAGCATATCCCCATCTGGTCCTGCCGCAATCTCAGCCCCTGCTGCAGCTGCATCCTCCGGGTGTGCAAACCCGTTTGGTGAGACGTTTGGGATTTATACACATATCATATATATATATATAGAGTGAAACTTAACATAGAGCAGTAAGAAGATGTGTGCGGTCTGCTTACTGGCCCCCCCCAACCCCGGTGCCTCTGCACCACAATCTGCACATTCCACGAGGGCAAGTGCAGAAAGCTCTTCCAATAGTTCAGGATCATCACACGGATCATCTGCTTGGGCGTTGTGCCCCATTTGAGCGTTTGAATCCTCTTTGCATGCGCTTGGCAAATTGGCTCGAGGCAAGACCCGAGCTGTTTGAAGTGACAATGCATTCAAATGAACCCGCACTTCTTCAATGTCTCGTGATCTGCCTGTGATAGATACCACCCTGAGCTGTTTGGAGTCCACCTGGGCGTGCAATATGTGTGGAGAAGCGAATCAACAGAATCATGCATACATCCCTATATGCCCTGACTTGTTAGTGCTATTGTGCAGTGCAGTAAGCAGACCCAAAAAGTATGCTTACAGCTTACCAAAACATACATACTCCATATATTTATATGTATATGTATGTAAAGATACAAACAATACATATATGTATATACATACCCTGATTAGCCAGAACTATCATGGGGTGCAGTAAGCAGAATCGAAAGGTCTGCTTACAACTGACTTCAACTAAACTCCCACCTGGCTGTCTGCGAGCAACTCTTCCAGCATCATCTCCTTGATGTCAAATTTGAAGGCACGGTAACCCTTCGTCACATTCACTATGAGGTCTCCTTTCGCGCGCTTCACACACTTACCGTAGGTCTCCTTATTGGCTTCTTTTCCTGTGGTTTTGCTTATCAAAATCGCAGAGACGGAGCCTTCACCCTTCTGCAAGGCCTGAATCCATAGCAGCACATGGGGAAACAGCCAGCTATATATATATATAGGCATTTGCAATATTTGTATATATATATATTTACACATACTCAACAAACATAGAAAATGAAATGGACAGTCTATTGAACTGCTTGCAAAAGGCATCGTGTTTTTTCTTTGCATTGCGTGTCTTGATGTGCTCCTCCCCGCAAGTCTCGAGCCTGTTGAGGAAAACAGCATGGGCATCTTGCACACTGGCGTTGTAAGCTGACAGTCTGCGGTTCAGCACCTGCTGCCAAAGAAGTGGCAAACAATACCACTGATCCTCGTCAAGCTCCCAGCTCTCAGGAGCCTCGACGTCACTTGGGCGTGACAAAATTTGCCAGAGAAACGTAGTGGAATTACAGTCTGGGTGCTTGAAAACCTCTTCCATTGGCGTTTGCCACGACTGGTCTTCAACGCTCAACTCGCATTTCTCCTGCTCCTGGAAGTGAGCTGGAGTGACAGGGATCCTCCAAAAGAAAAACCAGCTGTGACTATATATACATGTATAACGTGTCCTTCTGCTGTCTCAAAACCCAACTGTATGTATACATCAAACATGTACAAAAGCTCTGTTTGGGAGTGAGGCTGCCGTCCTTTGTAAGGCTCTCAGCGGTAAGCTGCAAATCCCCATTGAATTGTATCATCTCTTCACGCGACGCCATCCCCCTGCTGATCCATGCCCACCTGCATTTGGACACCCTAGCAGTTAACAGAGAGCATACTCTGCTTACAGCATGTGGTTGTTACAAAGTCCCAGTCAAATCCTTAATGTTCATAACATTTCTTTATGCCTAAACACCAAGACAATGATGACTTTGATGCCGATATATAATGCCCGTGCATGTGCACCGCTAGCTCCAAGCTCCTAGTCCTCCACCTCCACACCCGCGCTCACCACCTCCAAGCTCCACCTATCTCAACCAAAGGCCACCTACAGCTAGTGCTCAAGCCGCAAGGTCAAGTCTCCTCATCCTTTGCAGGATTGCGACAACAGTGCATGTCAAATGGGTGGCATCGCTTCATCTTGGAATCCCAACACAATCGAGTGATGTCTTTGGATTCAACCCCAGTCAAAGTCCCACCCAGTGCTACTGCAGTAAGCAGATTGGTAGTCTGCTTATTGGGTCATGGTTTCCCCAAAAGCACTTTTCCCTTAAAATTATCTAAAACCCATATAATTGCATCCGTTTTCATCCGATTCTTTGATATGTCCATGAAAATCCTCATGGTTCATTCAATTTCCTTGTACAAACGTGATCTTTCGCAACTTTTTTTTCAGAAAATCCTAAATTTTAAGAAATGCCCTCTAAACTCTT